GGGGCTCCAGGAGAGCTGGAGAGGGACTGGGGACAAGGGATGGAGGGACAGGACCCAGGGAATGGCTCCCACTGCCAGAGGGCAGGGATGGGTGGGATGTTGGGAATTGGGAATTCCTGGCTGGGAGGGTGGTGGGGCTGATGCAAGGATCCCAGCCTGTGGATTCCACTGCAGAATTCCCAAGTAAAACTGATGTGGCACAAGGAATTTATGCCCCTACAAAAAGTTTATTCTGGACCTCTCAGGCATATTTGGTTTCACTTTAGGTAATTCTCCCCAGCCCTGCTACTTCCAAGGTCTCATAACCCCTCACAATGACAGGGGACAGAACACAAATCACCCATTTTGGGTCTCTGTGTTGGGCAGCAGGCTCTGATTTTAATCCTATGAAATTTGGGATACCACAAACAATCTCCTGGAAAAGGCTGATCCCTCTTTCAGAACAGGATCGTTCTGCTGTGGGGTGAGCTAAGGACTCCGAGGAAAGGTTTCACATGAATATGTGGGGATGCAGAGGTGCAAAACCAGCTCCAAAAGCAGAAGGCAGCTGTGGTAAAGCCAAATGTGACTTTTCCCTGTGTCATGGGAAGCCCTGGAATCACTGCAGAGCCAGATGGGAAGCCCAGCCATGCCATGTCCCCGTAAGTCACTTCCTTGGCTAATTAATTTAATCTAATTTAACATGGATCACACCCTCTGGAGCCCAGGGAGGGTTTCTGGGCCTGGAAAGGCAGCTCTGCTTTGCTTCCAGCATCCCAAAGCAGAAATTCCAGAAGTGCTCTGCAAGAATGGTGGGCTCAGCCACACCACTGCACCCATCCCATCCCATCCCATCCCATCCCATCCCATCCCATCCCATCCCATCCCATCCCATCCCATCCCATCCCTAGCCCACCTTTCTAGGGTATTCCCAATTTTTTGCCCACATTTCCTGATCCCTCTGAAAGGGATTGAGGGGTTTTTGTGGCCCCCAGTAAATGGCCACAACAGCCCAAAAATGAGAGTTTCCTCCCTGCTGACAGCACAGAAATGTGGGGGAGATGTTCCAAACAAGCCAGAAAAGGAGGGAGCAAGAGGAAAATGCTTTTCCTTTCTTCTCTACTCTACCAAATTTATAAAAAACAACATTGTGTGGCATCACCACCATTTGGGAATGGAGAGGGATTATTTAAGAGGGGCTGAAGTGCCAGAATAAAA